AGTCTTCTACATGTGGATAACCAGTTCTCCAAGCACCATTTGTTAAATAAGGATTCTTTTCCTCAGTGCATGTTTTTGTTAGGCTTAACAGAGATCAAATAATGATATGATATGATATTTCACAATTTTAAAAGGTGAATTTTTGGCCAAGTGCTGTGGCTCATGCTTATTATCCTAGCACTCTGGGAGGCAGAGGCAGGTGGGTTGCTTGAGCTCAGGAGTTCCTGAGCAAGAGCAAGACCCATCTCTATTTTAAAAAAGGAAAACTAGCCGGGTGTCATGATGAGAACCTATAGTTCCAGCTACTTGGGAAGCTGAGGCAAGAGGATTGCTCAAGCCCAACAGTCTGTGGTTGATGTGAGCTATGATGCCATGGTACTCTACTCAGGGCAACAGAGACTCTGTCTCAAAAACAAAGACCAAAAAAAGTTGAATTTTTGAAAAGTATAACTGAATAATAGAACATGACACTCTTATTCCCAACACAGTGCAACCTGGACTGGTTGAGAAGACCGCTACAGTTCCACAAAGGTATTTCTGCCCACTAGACAGTGGAGTTCTGTCATTTGAGAGAAAGGAACAGGAAGAAATACATGGTCATTATGAAACTTGTGAGATACACAAATCTCAAGAAATATAAAATCCACATGGACAAAAACAAATGAAGCCATCCCAGCAACACCCATAAGCTGAGCAAGTTGAAACTTGCACAAGTAATTCAGAAAGGATCCTACTGTCAGCTGTGTTTCTTGGAAGTGAAGTAATAGACCATAACAAAGTCTGTCTCAAAACTTTTGACCTACATACATGAGGAATATCTTAAATTCTCTAAAACGTGCTTATCTCTTGCCTTCTCAGGGCAGTAACAGAGGGGCACAGGCGGAAGGGAGCCAGGGCTCTTCTATTCCTAGAGTGCTGGAGTTGATTCAAAATGGGGGACTGTGCCCGTAAGTGCATACCTGTTTTCTCTGTCTTCTGCCCCTATAGCACTCTGTTGGTTTCTTTTTTATTATTATTATTTCTATCTCTGCAAGATGCTGTTGGATTCTATATGCTCATGTCAAAGAAACAGGCCTTTATGAAGGATCCTTTCATTCCACTGCCAACAGAGGAAGGCAGGTTGGGGGCAGGGGACTTGAGTCCAGCTTACCTCTCCTGCTTTCCTTTGTAGGTCATTCCTTCCTCATTGCTGTTCCTTATCATTGCCAACAACCTCACCTGACCAGAATGATCCTTTCTCTTAAGGGCCTTCAAAGGTCATGGGTGGAAGCTAACTGAGGGCAAACCAGGATAGCAGGAGTCCAGGTCAAGATCTCTATCTTGGAGATAAAGTTTGAGATCCTTACCCTGGCATTCAGGGTCTGATCCCTGCTTGATGAGCATCCCTCACCAGGCCACTCCAAACTGATTCCACCATGCTTCAAATGCATCTAAGCTTTTGTACAGGCTATTTTACCCACCTTTTAAAATTTACTTAAGGGGTACATAGTACTGATTATGTCTTAACATTGTTTTGAACATTTTACAAATATTTCCTCATTTATCCTTGCAACCCTATGTTGTTAGCACTTTTATCACCCCATTTAGCAGATAAGGAACTTGAGGCACAAGGAGAGTAAGAGGCATGGATTCAAACCCAAGCAATCTGGTACCAGAGTTGGTGCTCTTAGCCACTATACTATGCTGCCTCTTAAACTTCTGACTCACTTCCACTTCTTCCACATTTATCCTGGATGTCAACACCTCTACCCATCCCACCCCTGACAACTTTAAGTTCCCACAGCTCCCAGTTCACACTTTTACCTCAAATTATGTTGGAACAATCTAATTGTCTCTTTTACTTTTTGATTTTTAAAAACTGGTGTATAGAAAAAAATTGATTTTTATATTTATGTTAGGTCTCATAGTCCTGATAAAATTACTTTCAGACTTTTCTACACACGAAAGTTTTATCATCTGTAAATATTTGCATGTTTTTAGTTTCCTTTCTAATTCTGTGTTTGTTTTTTTTTATTTTATTAAGTCAAATACACATAGATCTTGGACACATTCATGCATATGTGGGATGCAATCTGCTGATTTTTTTTTATACAATCTAATGTGATTACATTTTTTTTAATGTGATTACATTTAACCAATCAACATAGCTTTTTCTTGCTTCAGTGCACTGGCCAGGGCCTCCCAGATAATTTAAATAAGTGATTATAGTGGTCATCTTTGTCTCAATTTTAAATGGAAGGCATTCAACTTTTCCCCACTAGGTTTAATATTTTCTACAGGATTTTTATAGATATTAATTTAAGGAATTGTACTTATATTCTTGGAAAACTTAAGTTTGCTAAGTTTTTTTTTTTGTCAAGGTGCTTTTTATTAACATCTATTTAAATGATCATATAACTTTTCTCCAATTTTCTGGAAGAATTTATGTAAAATTAGAAAAGTGGTTGGATTTATTTTCCCTTAAATATTTTGTATAATTCATCATTAACAATGTCTGGGCCTGGAGACTTCTTTGTGGAAAGCTTTTTAATTATAAATTCAATTTATTTACTAGTTATAGTATTGTTAAGATTTTTCTATTTTTTCTGTATGAGTTTTAGTGATTTGTATTTCTCCAGAGATTCTTCCATTTTATCAAAATTTTCAAATTTGTTAGTCTAAAGCAGTTCTTCATAATTTTTTGTTGTATTTTTATCTCTATGATCTGTACTTTAGTGCCTTCCTTTGTTCCCAATACTCACGTACCTTCTATAATCTTTTTTTTGGATTAGTCTCAGGAATTTATCATTTTTCTAGGTTTTTCCAAAAATCAGCTTTTAGCTTTGTTGATCCTCTTTGTTGTAGTTCTGTTTTCTATTTTATTGGTTTTTGCTCTCATCTCTAGTATTTCCCAACTTCTACTTTCTTTAAGTTTAATGTGCTCCCTTTTCTGACTTTTTTTCCTTTTCTGACTTTTTAAGGTAGATTTCTAGCCTGTTTTATGTATGAATTTAAAGTTATAAATTTCTCTTTAAACACACCCTTAGCAGAATCTCACAGGATTTCAGATGTCATATTTTCATTATCAGTCAAGTCAAAATGTTTTCTAATTTCCATTGTAAATTTATCTTTGACCCATGGATTTTCGTCCCTCTCTGAAATATAGTGCCCAAACTTCAATGGGCATAAAAATAACTACCTTATGGCTTTGTCAAAACACAGATATTGGAGCCCCGTCTCAAAATAGCTGGGTGATTCTGATACATGTGAGTTCCAGGCCCACAGTTTGGTAAGAGAGTCAGTCTGATTCACCTGTACTGTCAGTGCTCACCACTGAGCCTAACATAAAACCATGTTCAAGAAATGAATGAACCAATGGATGAGGGAAGAAAAGAGGTGAAGTCAAACAAAGTTTCTTATATCAAAAGAATTGGAATTCTTGAATGCTATAAATGGAGTCATTGTGGAATCAATTGCTTCCAATTTAACCCGATTCAAAACAGAAATATTTTTCCTTTGTCTTCATCTCCCTGTCTACCAGGCTTTCTCCTCACCGGTCCTGTTCTGCTAACATGGCCTTAAGTATGGGTTCTTGCCTGTCTATTGGCCCACAGAAAGTAAGAATGGCACAAGAGATGTCCAGACAAGGGCTGCTGAGAGGTGGGCAATGCTCCTTCTCCACCCTCAGCCCCAGCCCACTTCCAGGCTTGCAGGGAAAATGCCCAAGGAACCCCATTCTAAATAAAATTATCTATCCTACCTCTCAGAGCCTAAGTACCTCTCCCATTCCAAAGCTTTTAAGAAACTTCCACTGGATCTTCTTTATCCCAACCCAGACCCCAGACTGGCCTCCTACACTCTGCCTCCTCTGCAGTTGTAGCCGGAGTGAGTTGCTCTCAGCAGCTTCTTGGCCATTTCTCCCCACCTCCACGCATGCCTCTTTCGAACATCTCAGAATGGCCAGAGCCCGACTTCCCTAGCCAGCTATTGTCTTGGCCCCACAGCAGCCACGCTAGCATCTCCACCCAGTTAGCCAGTCAGCAGGCTGTTCCCCGGCCTCACCAGCCGCCCCGGACCAACCTTCCCGCCCCTCCCCGCCCCGCCCCAGGGAGGACCCGGCTGGCGGCTGGTAGTCTCCCAGCCTGCTCAGCCTCTCTTCTTTCCTCCCTCTCCCTCCTAGACTCCTTCCCTCCCCCGCCCGCCCCTGAGGCAGGGACTGTGCTAATCCAGAAGAGGGGGGACGACAGGCGGGATAGGGTCCAATTTAGGGCCTTGGACACCCCATTGAAGCCCTATCCAGGCTAGGTGTTTCCAGCATCTTCGGACCAGGATTTGTGTGCGCTGGGAGGGTTCCCGGGTCAGGAGGGTCCCTCCGGCAGGCCAGTAGTGCCCTCGTTTTGCATCAGGACCCCCCTCAGATGCTCTGAGCCACCCTCCTCAACCCGGATCTAAAACCCGGGACACAGCTATCAGGCCAGCCTCTCTCTCCACCCCACCCCCTCTTTCTGGCGTCCATCCCCTCCCCAACACCACCTCTACTGCTGCCTCTGGCTGTGAACCTGCACCTCTTTCCCAGCCCCATCCAGGCCTGGGAAGCAGGGTGAGCCTGGATGAGAGCCCCCTCAACCTGGGGCTCTCCCAGGCCATGGCCCGTGTGCTCCCAGGGAGGAGCCTCGGCCCCTGAGCATCTGCTAGAGGCTTGGCAGAGGCCCCGCGGGGACCGTGTCTTCTGAGGACAAAAGGCGGCGGCCAGCAGGCAGACAGGGGACGGGGCAGGGTGGAGGGTGGGACCGGCAGCCAGGTGGGCAGACGGGTAGCAGGGGCCAGTGCTCGTCCCCTCCCAGCTTGGCTGTGGCATGAAGATGGAGATGGGAGTGTGTATTGGGGGAGATACCTGCCAGGATCCCCAGCTGCCAGTTACCTGGGAGCCCCAAGGCTATGTGCTGCCCACCTGGTGTTTCCCAACACCCCCAGCCCTGCCCAGTGCACCCCTCCAGTGCCTGCTTTTCCTGATGCCTGTGATTTAGACAAGCCGGTCTGTATCCACGGCAACAGAAGCAGGAGTGACTGGCCTCCAGATCACTGAGGGTCCCACAATGTGGTCTGGGTTGTGATTTATCCTGGGTGAGGCAGCTTGAGCCCCCATCCTGGATTCCAAGACATCCCTGCTGAGAGAGCCCAGGTAAGCAGTCTGCATCTCTCCACCGAGGATGGGGGGCTGGGACATCACTTCTGCCTCCCCACACATATATCAGCATTTCCATCACAGACATGCTCTGTCTCTCTCTCACTGTTAGTGTCTCTCTCGCGCGCGCTCTCTCTCTCTCTCTCTCTCTCTCTTTCTTCCATCACAGGAGCTACTTGGGTACCCAAGCCTGGAGACTCCTCATTTTTTCCTGTCTTCCCAGTCCCAAATGTCCCATGAGAAAGGAAACCACCACCTGTTTCCCCACACAGGGTCTGCTTTTATCATTATGATTGTGTTTGGGCAGGAAGCTATGTTAATATTTCCTCATGTGCCAGTTGTGGAAGGAATGTCTGGGAGCCCTATCGTGTACCCTGGGCAGGTTCAACCTCCTGCGGCTGCCTCCTGTCCCTTTCCCTCCTCCTCCACTCTTCTCCAGGATCCTTCCTTGCCTGCCTGCAAGGTGTGTGTGTGTGTGTGTGTGTGTGTGTGCGCGCGCGCGCGCGCGCGCGCGCGCGGGAATGTGCGTGCACACACACCTGGGTAGCAAGCAAGTGGGTAAACATAACACAGAATCTGCTCACACCCCAGATCACCCTCCCATTCCTTCTTCTTTCCCTCCATTCCTTCCTTCCTTCCTTCCGTCTACCCCTTATCTCTCCCTACAGGTAGCACAGACTTTTGCTCACTAACCACTGAAGATATTGCTGTGCTTCCCAACGAGGGGGAGGAAGCTGCTATAGGGCTAAAGGAAGGTGAGGTGGGGGTGGGGCACACGTCCAGGCTCTGGGCTGCCTGATGGCTCTGCGAGGGCAAAGACCAACCTGTGGGAGCCAGGTGCAAGATGGCCATCCTCACAGTGTGGGCCCCAGCCTCCACCACAGGGCTGTCTATCTCTGTTTCAGATGCCCCTATCTGTGACTCCCAGATCTTAAGGCTTTATGCATAGTGGCCAGAGATCCTTATGTTGGGAGGGGCAGGAAAACCTGGTACACAGAGAGCATGGATTTTCTCAGGGACACTTTTCCCAATTACAAGCTCTGCTACTTTAACAGAAACATGCCACTTATTGGACCTCAGTTTTCCCATCTGTCAGACTGGTAACCCTTCCTTCATGCGTGTGTGTAGAGATTAAATGATTTGATGCATATAAATAAAGGATGCACATTGAGGTGGCACTGAAGCAATCAGCAAAGCTCATGGTCAGTATTATTGTTGATTACTCATGATTAATACTGTTATTGATTATTTGTGGGAGGGACTGGTCCCTCTTCTCCAGAGTCTCAGAAGAGATCTGGGGAGGGCAGCAAATGGGCAAATGGTGAGGGTAGGGAGTGAATGGGGGGGCAGGGACAGCTCTATGTTGTTACTTCCTGCTTGCAGGATATGAGAAGTAGTGGGTATGAGCAGAGCCACCCATCCTCACCCTACTCCAGGCTTCTTTCTCTGCACATGCCCTTGGTTGTAAACACAAGCAGACACACACACACACACATACACACACACACACAGGCCTGAATCCCCATGAGCCAAGCAGAAGCCTGGCTTATAGCCTACAGCATTCCAGGCCCTGGTAAATGTATGTATCTCCCTGTTGAGGGGATACTTGGCAAGAGTTTGGACTATGGTCAGTGATTGGCAGGGCCTGGAGACAAAGCTGAAACTACTGAGACACTGGGCTTCAGATGGAGCTGGGGTGTGGCCCATAAAGCAGCCAGACCTGTGGGGGACAGGTCCCAGGGAGTTGCTCACCTAGAACCTGGGGTGGGGGAAGAATGGAGTCTGCTGGCTGGTTTCCAAACATAGAGATGTGTGGCCAGGGGAAGCAGGGAGGAGGGGAAAGGCTGAGGTCCAGAAGACCTCTCTGTAGGGGCAGAAGGGATGGGGCTTTGCAGCATAAAGTAGACTTTTCTGAAGAAGCATTTGGTGTGGGAGAGGACCCAACCTATGGTCTAGAGGCATCTGGGCCTGAGTGTGGGTATATATGTGCTACTGAAAATGTGTGAGTGTGCAGTCTGTGTGTGTTTCTGTTGATGGACACTGTGGATATGTATGAGTCTGCATGCAAGCAGGTCATGTGATGGCATGTGTGTGAGTTCATGGGTGGCTTGTGTATGTACAGGGAGGTGGCTGTGACTTTACATGTCTGTCTGGATAAGGAAATGGGCATGTTTAATTCTAAGCCTGAATGTGGATATATTTCTCTGAACCAACAGGCCTGTCGAATGCCTGGTTGTATATGTTTATGGTATCAGTTTGTCTTTAAGTATACATGTCTAGTTGTATGTGTATGAGTGTATGGGTTTCAGAATGCCTGGGTATGCACATCCAATTAGGCAAATGCCTAATTGTATCTGATTGTGTATGTTGGTATATGCCACATGTGTATATGAATGTAGGTGCATCTAAATGGAGTGTTTGTGAGTATAAGGACATATATTTGTGCATGTCCATCTATGTATGGGTGTGTGAACATGATTTTGTGTGGGTGTATCTGTCCTATATTTGTGTGAGCAGGCCTATGAATTCATGTGAATGTCTATGTGGACTCCCCAGCATTTTTAATTTATATATATGTATGTCTGTATGTGCGTGTTTGAGTATATATTGTCTATAGATAAACCTATATGTCCACATCCAATTAGGGAAATGTTAGTGTGGGTGGGCACACTAACATAAGGACATATGAATTCTCCTTATATAAGGAGAACTAATTGTGTGAATAGGGGTGAGTGTATGAATGGAGATTTATTTTTTGGGTGTGCTTATTTGTGCACATTAGATTATGTATATGAGTATGGCTGTGAGGGGATGTATGCTTGTATGCACACATGACTGTGTGCATAGGTGAATTAATGCATTTGTATTAAGTCTAATTGTGTTTGTGTGTGCACTGTTATGCATAAGTGCATGTCTGACTGTGGCATGCAGGGATAACTACATTTCATTATACTTGGGTGCACATGTCTCATTGTGGGTTTTGTTTGAATTTTTGAGTGTGAGTGCAAATGGTTGTTTGAATATGCCTGTGAGTGAATCTGAGTATATATGTAGGTTGTATATGCTAGTATGTGTACACATTTGACCATGTGTGTTCCACTAAACATGTCTTTCATATATACATACATGCATGTTCATACATATTTAATTGTGTGTATATGCCTGTCTTAATGTACAGGTGTGTGAATATACCAGTTTATATAGTTTCAATTATTGGCATGTGTTTGTATTTATCCATCTTTGTTCTGAAACATATGTTGTAGATCAATGTAAGTAAATGTATGTGCATGCCACTCTCAACCCCTAAGTGTGTTTGAGTGTGTGTATATGTGTATATATATGAGGATGTCTTTGCATGTATGTGTCTGTGATGAATATGGATCAATTCATGTGTAGATGTACTTGTATGTGTGAGTATGTGATCATATGTCTGTATGTGCATGTATTGGAATATACCTTTATGTCCAAGTCCCTCTATGGAAAAGTAGGTGCAAGTGATTCTTTTTTTGGTTTGCATAGCTTCTCATATGGGGATATGAATGTGTGAGACTGTACATGGCATAAATATCTGTGATGGTGTGAGTGCATTTTGTAAGTACATGTCTGTTTCCATGTCTGATTGTGTGCATATGGGAATGAATTAATGGACAAGTCTATGTGCATTAACATGCTACATGTCCAGTTGTGCATATAAGTCTGTATGTTAGAATATCTGCATATCTATATATCATCTTATGTATAATCACATACATATCAGGGTGTTTATGTGTGTGAGTATGCTTACACAAATGTGTGATTGTGTATAAATATACTTATTTGGTTCTGTCTAGGGGTGCATGTACACATTTGGGATCTTGCTTTTCTGTGTCCATATTTGTTTATTGTCTTTTTAGGTATAATACAGAGTCTGCCTGTCTGTGGCCATGTACACATAAAAGTGTGCCTGTTGTATCCCTGTGTTTATAAGTGGATGTGTGTCATTCATGGGCATTATGTCATGTGAATATATATCATGTATGTTTGCCTGCATTTAAGAGTAAATGGATGTACACATATGTGACCAAGTACAGGGCAAGTGTGCCTGTGTGTAGAGATGAGTGTAAGTATTCATGCATATGCCTATCTGATGGTGGGTGTGAGAGAAAGAGATACTTAGCCTTGGGCTTATGTGGATAGACATTATTACTGAAGGGGTGATAAGAGAGGTACTTATAAGTCTTTGTATACTTCAGCATGTAGTTATGTGCCTGTCTGAGAGTCAGTAGTGCCCTACTGGGCCTAGTCTGTCTATAACTGTGTAAATACCCTACAGATTGGCAAGGTGTGACACCTTAGCAGTCCATAACCTTCTTTCTGAGGCCTCTCTGCTGGGCTTTTTGGGGAGTCTCAGGATAATTCCTATCATCATACACACCCAAGAAGTAGGAACCAATCATGGCTGGTGTCCTACTGTAGGAAAGGGACCTGTGAGCTGCTTAGAAAAAGATTCCTTGAAACACAAAGACCTCCCTTCTCATCTCTCCACAATTAAAGGCTAGGGAAGAATGATATTCTATGGTTTTTAAAGTTGGCAAATGGATTTCACTGAGAACACCTAAATTATACCATCCAGACAGAAATCTAAATGTGAATGTGTATATATAATTGAAAGTATCTTGGGGTAGGGGGACAGAGAGAGGTATGTTATATCTAGTGAGAGAAGTATGGATTGTATGTAAGACAGGGGATCAGTGTTTCTGGATAGGATGTGTATATGAGACATTTGGGTATATTTGGGAGGGGAGGGGTGAATGTGGGTGTATGTTTGGATGGAGGATGGTATGAGTGAGAGTTGGAGAATGTGAGTGAGAATATGTATATTTGAAGGGTGTGTGAGGGTATCTGATATACTATATCTAGTATATCTAGATGGTTAGAGAGAGAGAGGGTGCAGAGGCTATCTGGGTGGTAGATCTATTTGATAGTGTGGATGTATCTGTGTCATGTGTTTAACAGAA